TTACTTTTTCTCTCTCATTTCTTCATATTCTTCCTTCATTTTCCCCATAGTCGAAAATCCTTCAAGCTTTTAACACTCTCAAAGTTTCTTCCTTTTTCATTTTTCTTGCGTCACTACCACTGAAAATAGTGTGTACAAGACCGGCTGCAACCGAAGCTTCTACTTTGCAACAGTTCGAAAATGAAAAAGCCAAGGCACGGTTTTAAAATTTTAATAACCGAAATCTCTTCTTTGAGTTAGGTTTTATTTTTACCGATGAAATCGACGGTGGCTTTGGACCGGATGTAATGGACATTATTACTCCACTCAAATGGAAGAAGTTTGCAAGGCACCCGGGTTTGGTTAATGCCTCGTTGGTTAAGGAGTTTTACACCAACATCTCCAAGCCGAACCAACACTCCATTTTCGTGTGAGGTAAATAGATTCAGTTTACACCCTATTCGATTAATAGATATTTTCATTTGCAGGATGTGGATGACCAATATGCCACGTTCAAAAATGATGTCGACAGCACCACCTACGATGGGATTTTAGAGGACTTGTGCTTCGCAAACACCGAGTGGAATGGTCGCCAAACCAGTCAATATTCGGTCAACCGTGAGCGTCTTTTACCGCGCGCCAAGTTGTGGAACCATTTCCTCAAATACAAGCTTATGCCTACATCACACAATACGATGGTATCGATTTCTCGTTTAATGCTTGTACACTCAATCATGGTAGCCCGTCCTATTGATGTTGGTCGAATTATTGTTCATCAAGTTCATGAGTTTTAGGTAAAAAGACAAGTGCTTTAGTGTTTCCTAATTTAATCACTACTTTGTGTCGTAAGAAAAAGGTAAATGAGAATGCTTTTGATGAGATTTTACCTGAAATTTTGGGCATCACTAGGGCTAGATTACCACTGTTATTGGGAAATAAAAATCCCAAGTCTAAGGACCCTGCTCATGAGCAATCTGCAGGTACTGAACAATCAAATATCGAGGCAAGATTTCTTACTCTCGAGGAAGTTGTGATGCAGACTCAGACTCACCTACATGCTTTACATGGTGACATTCGTAATTTCTTTGGTTATGTGAAGCAGAGAGATGTTGTGGTGGAAGCGATGTTCCAAGAGATCATTCCCCACGTTCAACATAATTTCCCAAGCTTTCCAGACAAAATTCTGCCGGCATTCAATGCTGAGGCATCTCCTGAGCCAGAGCAAGATGAAGTTGAACCTCCAATTACTGAACCGACTCCTGATCCGCACTGTTCCGAGCCTTTAAATATCTACCTACTGTACCTGTTGAAGAAACACCCAGTCCCGTTCCTACGTCTGATCCATCTCCTGCACTACGTAGTGACCGGTGCACCAAAACCACGGCTAGACGCATCAATATTGTGCGTCATGACTCCAGTTCTTCATATTCTAGCCCAGCACCACTATGTAAGCTCACCAGATGAGGAGCTGCCAGTAGCTCCAAGGAAACACCACCACGCAAACCATGAGGTACCTCACTTGCATTTATTCGTATTTAATTTGCATTTCATTGCATATCATAGAGTTTTTATTTAGTTTAGTTCTCTTTAAGCATTGAGGATAATGATTCCCTTAACTTTGGGAGAGGTAGTGTTCTCCGTAGAGCATATGCATGATAGCATTAGCGTAGTATTATGCCATGGCATCAGTAAATAATAGGACAGTTAGATAGAATATTTTGAGGATACCCAATGATGATGAACTTCTTAGGCTAGAAATTGAATGTAAATGACTATTGAAAAGGATATAACTCACTCTTAGGCTTGATGCTTTGTGAAATATTTTGACATGATTTGTATGTTCTCTATAATTAGGAAATTTAGAATTTTTTTATAAAGGAACTCTAGTTAGTTTTAGCATTGAAATATAGTATTGTGCTTAAAAGAAAAATAAAAAACAACTCATTTATATATGAAACTGTGAATAAATACTTAGGCATAGCTGTAGAGGGACACTCCTCTTTGCCGTGGCATTGCCTGGAACTCTCTTTAATAAATGACAGCCTCGCGCATATGAGTGAATGAAAGTAGTCACGGGATGACTCTACTTAACTAGCTCGGGAGTGGAAGGTATGCTCCCTTTCACCTAGACTGTGAGAGAGTAGGTGTGATGAGTTGACTCCCTTCGTAGCAACATTTGAAAAGAAAAAAGAAAAAAAATTCAGTAAAAATATGCTTAATAAATGAGTAAATGCCTTGGCAAAAACTAGAGACTTGATTATAAATTGTCTAAGTTTGATAAGTATAGATTGGATACAATCACGCACACACACTACCATAAAGAATCTTGACCTATGGAAAAATACTTGACTTCTTGATATGTCTAGCATGATGAAGCCTATTTTTCTGAGGGTTGAAATTCAATTTTGTCCTACTGTTCTATTGTTGAAAATTGTCATGACATTCTGCTTATGTAACTGCTATCCATTGCTTGAGGACAAGCAATAGCTTAAGTTTGGGGGTGTGTTAACTTCCTAAAAAGGCTACTTTTAAGGCCTTTTCACTTAAGTTATTGTTTGTTTAAAAGCTCATTTTAGTTATTTTAGGATCATGTAGTTGCATATAGTTGTATTTGTGGTGGTAGTGCTATTTTATTTCTTAAGGGTGATGTATGAGAGAAAGGTGCAGTTGTTTGTAGTGTGCAGGGAATAGCAAGCAAAAGGTCTCTTTTGGAAGTAATGTCGCGCATCACACGTTACTGAAGCATATTGAAATGCCTTGGCATTTCTGGCGCAGAAAACGACAAAAAGATACAGTTGTACGAGGACAGCTGGCTCTGCACGTGAAATAATGGTTGTAACCGCCTGCCAGAGGACCACTGTCACCTGGAGGATAAGGTTCACGCAAATGGTGTGATTCTAGGGGTATGAGGGGTATTTTACACCCAACAACCTCATCATTACCCCTAGATATTTTTATTATATATGACACCTCACAAGGGAGAGAGAAAATAGGCATACGAGCAGAGCAGAAAAATCTCATTTTTATTTTCTTTTTCCTTTCTTCTTCCTTGGGTGTTCCTCCATTGATAAAGCTCCAAGGAGTGGCGAACTAGGCGTCCGAGAGGAGCTAGCGAGCTAAGACGGTTAGTGGTGGCCGAGGAGACCTCTGGTGGCGCGAGTCGAAGGCTTCTTCTCATTTCCCTTTGCTGCTATTTATTTATTTATTTTTGGGTTATTGGAACGAATATTTTATGGCTTGTTCTATGGATATTTCGAACCCCACCATGAACTAACTTATTTGGTGGTGGTTGGTTTAATGGTTGTTTAAACTTCATTTTAATGATAGATTTATGTTTATATTAGTTATTTGCTTGCTTTGCTTATGAATACTTCACCATCTAGGCTTGTAAGAGGCATGAGAGTGTCCATTTCTTATATGAAGGTTAGGTGTTCGAGAGAAACCTAAGCTAAAAATACTTGTAGTATTCGAGAGAAACACAAGACAAGATTCTAATAAGCAATGGGCTATAGTGTTTTCAAAGGGCTTTGAACCGGCCTAGGAATACTATATCCTAATCCTTTAGTACTCGAGAGAGACTATGATAGGATTTAAACGACTAAAAATGGTATTTTTATCAATAATGTGGGTTGCCGACATCGTTGAGCGAGAGCAGATGCCATGGCATCCTATTCTGTTAGGTTCCTTTGACTAGAGATAATGGGAACACTTTCGGAAAACCCTGTCGAGTAAGTAAAGATTAGATAGCTTAAATCTGCCTGAGAGATAAGTTTAGCATCCTTAAATAAATCCCTACCATTTATTCCAGTGGAAGCTTCTATTTGCTACACCATCAGACCATTAATCCATATCCACCAGCATACACATATCCATTGACGTGACATTGTATATATCAACACTAACTATACATAGATAGAGTAGTGTTTTGCTTTGGTTAGACTTTTGTAATTTCACTCAATCCATGTGGAAACGATACTCACTCATCACTTTATTACTTGAGCGATTATGTATACTTACACATTATTTACGTATGATTTTATAGTACTCACAACACGCAAACAACAACAAATGGGTATTGCATTGCTTCCTTCCCTAATTGTCTTCATAATCGTCATTTCTTCTTTCCCTTCTTCTTTTTTAGAGATTATTTCAACGGTGCTATAGATTTCAAAATAGATTTTAGGGATTTCAAGGCTAAGGGGACTTAAATAATTAACTATTAAATTTAAATATTTTGCCATTTTTTAAATTAAAATATTTTAAGTAATTTATTGCTTAATTGCCACGTCAGATACACGTTAAATAGTTAACGATTGTTTATGTTTAATGACTCGGATTAATTAAAAATAAATAAAAGTGACCACGTGTTAACTAATTTAAAATATGTAACCATACGTTTAAAAAAATAAAACAAAAGTGACAACGCTATAATTTACTCTTAATTTAATTAGCCGCCCACGATAAACGTATATATCCTAAATGCAACCTGGATACATGAGTGCATCAAACTCTGCGCAACTCATCGAAACGTGAAGCTTTGTTGAGCTTACAACGTGGCATGTAGTAGAGGGCCACAAGATCCACGTCTCACCGACATGGGCTTACCAAGACCCCCAAGTAATGGTTCGAGGTTTAGAAGGTGGAATAAGTTCTTTACACTTGGAGCAATGAGGATGCAGTTTTAGATGGAGGATTCTGAGCCACTAATCAATTGCGGTTTAATTCTCAACCACAAAATTATTTCCTCTGCCCTTTTTTTCTTCTTTAAAGCAGAAGTGTAAACAGCATTCAAAATTTTTTAAGTTCTTCTTGTGAACCTACGTTTCTCTTTCATTAACAACTTGGTTTTTTTTTGGCTGAGAAAACAAATACCCCAGCCGCATTTGGTTATACTGGTAAACTTTGATGCTTTTTAGGCATAAAGCTTCTAAATCTTCTACAACCCATTGAAGTTTTCAATCATTTCCATCTGTTTGTGTGAATCCAGAACTGGGTTGTCTTTAGCTTCTCAGCTAATTCACAAACTTTTTTCTTTGGCCATTTCTATCCGTTTTCTCCATCTAGCTTGCATTTTAGTGCTGAAACAAGGACTGGGTTGTCTTCATTTCTCAGCTAATTCACTACAAGGTTTGTCTTTATCAAATTTCTTAATTTTCTTGTTCCTTTCACTTGAATGTTCTGTTTCTAGCTTTCTATATGTATATTCGAGGAAAAATTTATAAAATTTTAGATAAGGAACTTATAAAATTTTAGGCGTTAAAATAAATATCGATAGAAATACAAAGAAAATAGTTAAATTATACAGAATTTCAAATTTTCAAAACGCGATTGCCGTGCCAGTCCTCTTCGGTCCATTCCTGTGTGTTTGTCGGAAAATATATGCAATTTTCAGTAATAAGTATATATTACAGAAAAGGACTTAAATTATATATTACGGATAAGGACTTAAATTCATGTTTCTGAAAGTTTGTTTTAACTTGTGTGGTTTCCTATGATTTAATTTTGATTCTTTCAGTGGATCACATGGATTGGTATCAGTGTAAAGGAATGGAGGATCTTGTTGTCCCCAAACATCAAGAAGTAGACGATAATCTCCCTTCACCTGAGAGTTGGTCAAAATGGGATTTCACCTCTCCTGGAAAATTTAACGATGAACGCTTTGCTGTGGCCGAGAATCTAACTTTTGTTAAACCGAAATTCAATGGCAGATTATGCCACGGCGTTGAATTCGAATCCACAGCCGATGTTAACGATCCATCTACATGTTGGAGTATATATGGTGGATTGTCGTTGAATCAGGGTCGAGTTTCACAGCATCAAACCGATCACCAGCTCGATGATTTTGGCAGATCCGAGCAGCTCGATGACATATTCTTGTACTAGCTTAACCTCTGGAATTACGATATCATATAGTTATGAATAACAGCATGCTCGGACATCCCATGAAAATTGAAGGGTTCCAAAGGTTTGGTCATATAATCCTGCTAAAAACTATTTCTTCATCATTGAAATTAGTTGCCACCACCATCACAAAATGGTTCTAACAAAAAGAATCCGATTATAACGAAGACAATCGCATATCTAACGTAGGTGATTTTATGCCATGTTAAAAGTGTTTTTAATAACATAGTTTAGTCGTTCAATATTCCATGGGATGTTCAAATTTACTTTCTGTTTCAATGTTTTACCTTTGAGGTCATATGGTAGTTGAGGTCATATGGTAGGAGTAATTTCTTGTTTACTAGTCATAATTCTTCGGGTTTCTAAATTTTTGCAGGGCTTCCTTACTGGAGGATCCGACTTGGGGCGAAGATCTTCACAAATCGTTTTGCTTTTCTCCTGGATTCGAGTGCGAGACGATGGCTGCCGACTATCTTCTGCCAGATGTAAGTTTGTATTTTCAAAGTGTTTCAAACAATGCACATTCATATCATTGCCAGTTTGAGCTCAAGAAAAGATTGACAGTGAAGGTGAAACAAAATTATTTTGAATACTAGCCTTCTGTATGTTATTAATGAATCTATATCACCGATGTTTATTCTTTCGATATTGAATGTATGTCTTTACTAGTAGCATTTTTGACAACGGGACAACTACTTTTGATAATTATTTTGTTAAGTTAGTGTACATGAAGATCTAAGCTGAATGCCTTGCATTTAATCTGGTCTTGCATCAGAAAAGAGTATCTGTGCTTGAGGGAATGTGATTAATGATTGAAATGTTAGAAACTAACTAAAACCGATACTAGCAAGTGACGAGTGTTTTATTTGTAACTAAAACCACGTATTTCTAACTGGGATTAGCCTGAGCATTTTACTTGTTATATGAGATGTTTTACTAGTTTTTCCTCTAAACCAGCCTAGGCCACTTCAAAAGATTGTTGCAATATGGATTCAATCTTCTTGGAATTACTTTTGTGAAATAAACTCCCTTGTGTAATCGGATGCAGCTTCGAAGAATCTTTAGAAATACCCTAAGGCAATTAGCTAAACATACATTTCATCATCCTATGCTTATATTTGTGAAAATTTAGTATAGTTCCCAAGTTTATAAGATTAACTAATGGATGTAACTTTTGCACAAGTCATTTACTGCCAAAATTTTGGTTCCTCCTGAACAGATAACTGCAAATGGATTTGTGTCGGAAGGAATGTCGCTTGAAGAATCGGTTTTGAAGGAGCTTGAAAAGGTGACGACACAGGTGAACAACAAACCAAAATTCCTACAGTTATTCATCAATTACTTTTATAAGAACAAGTGAACAACTGCTTATACAAATTTCATATTTTGATCTGTTCAGTTGTCTGATAAGACTCGAATTTGCTTCCGAGATGCCTTCTATCGTCTTGCCAAGAACTTGAAACAGAATCCTGTAGCACTAGGCCAACAAGGAAACCTCCATGCTCAAACTCATCCTCTGAAGTGGACAATCTCGGAGGAGAAAATAAGGTTCAACTTTTAGCCTTCTACTACAATTTGCAGTACTTTTGAGTATCTTTCCTACTTCGAATTCATTATCGATTTGCTTGAATATGGTAGATCGGTAGTCTAGTTTATTAATTCCGTGGCATCTAGTTTGTGTTTCGACAATTTAAGCATCTTGTTGATCAGAAGATAATTTTGATATTTTTCAGGTCTGGGAAAAAAGAAAAGACTGAATCGGAGACCAATACCATTGATCGAACCATCGCAAACCTCACCTTCGACAAGATGGATATCAACGTTTGGGACTTTCCGCTTTTCCAATCCCAACAATTCTAAAGCAAAAACGTCACCGGTGAGTCCAAGTCGCTAAGTTAATCACAGTTCACATGCTGGCACCAAATGATGCGGAAGTTCCCGACATGGATATGCCTCAAAGAACTGATGAAATTGCTGAGAACACCCGACTTAAAAGAATGGTCGAAAGGGAAAGATTTAGGGAATTATTTTATGTTTCTTGAAGATAAATTCTTTTAGGTGTGTTTGAAGTTTTGAATGTAAATTATGTTTTTTTTTCAGTTAAGTTTTGATAAGCATTTTCAGAGATCACTTCAAAATTCCTACTGATAAGGTCGTCTGGAATGGTGTTTTTTTTATGCAATAGTAGTTGGCCTTGCTATTATGTTATGGGTTCACAATGAATGTTTGATAGGAGTATGTGGACATATATTTTATTAGGGTATATTCAGTATTTTAATGATTTTTTCTTTCTATATTAAGATTTTTAGAGCCATTCCTTCATATATTACAAGGATGACTAGTTTTTTTATGGGTAAATTATTTTATTAGTCATTGATATATTGTTTATTATTTATTTTAATCATCAACCTGTTTCTTTTATCATCTATGATCATTTTTATTTTAGTCATTAAATTATTTTTGATAAAATATTAGTTTTTAACAAAATTATATTCAACATTTAAACTTGTCTCTTTCCTGAGCAAAAAGACTTTTAAAATTATAATAAAAGAATGTTCTTCCTTTGTTTTCTTATTGTTCTTTTGGTTTCGGGACTAGGAATGATAAACGGGTAGGATAGATGTGGATACTCTATCTTCATACTCAATATTTTTATATCTACTGTCTATGTACTATATATGATGGGTAAAATTTTTAAATTTAATTCATACGAATATATTCTTAAATCCACCTCACACCCACTACCCAACTGATTATCCACTACCTATTTATGCATTACCTATATCATAAATGTTCATGCCCACTTAACAGAAACCTCATAGTTTATATAAGCGACAATCTTTAACTCTAAAAATGTTTGTACCTTAATATTCGGTTAAAGTATAAGTTATGTCCTATAAATTCTTAAAATTTACAAAATAATTTTTAAAATTATACCTAAATTTATAATATCCAAAATTTTATGGATAGTTAGTGGGCGAACGAATGAGAGGCGGGTAAAGTCTCAAACCAATCATCTACTCACGATGGGTATGATTTTTTTCATCCACACCTGCCCACTAAACTTATATCCATCCTCGTCCCAATTGGAGCGGATGTGATATGAAATCCACGAAATTGTATCAGTTTGTCATCCTTATTTATGACACATATCCTAACTAATCTGAATTGATTTATATCGTACATTTGATCTTAATGAGTAAATCCTTAACAAGATTTAAAAAAATATTCATCCTTTAATACGAAATAAAATATGTAAATTTGTATTTTTAAAAAAATCAAATATTTGTTTGGTCTTAGAAAATATTTTCTATTTTTATTTTCTGTTTTTTTTTTTATTTTTTAAAAAATAAAAAATTTGTTTGGTTAATATAAATGAAAACTTGATTTAAAAACTAAGATCCTAAAATATATTTGGTATCTAATTTTTTAAAATAGAAATAAAAAGGATAGTTATTAAATAATTATATTAGATTATAATTATTAAAAATATGAGTTATACAAATATAAAACAATAAAGTCGATAAGAAATTTCATAACACAAAATTTATTTTAATTTATAATAATAATATAATATTAATGCATATTAGACATTAATTAAAATTTTAAAATACACAAAAATATTATTATAAGTAATAGCATATGTTTAGTGATAACCGAGACCATCAAACTTTTGAGAAAAATAATTAGTGTAGTCCCTAATTTTTTTTTACACTAAATGTGGTTGTTAAACTTAGGAAAAAATTAATCTAATCCTTTGAACAACGGAATCAAACGTTGATTGTCACGACGCTTACATGATAATTCACAAACTTGCATGACAATCTACAATATTAATGTGATAGTTCACGATATTGTTTTGATAGTACTCGATGGATGATGATGTAATAGATGTACTTAGTTGATTATTTTAGGAAGTTTGAGGACTTATTAATTCTAAAAAATTTAAAATTTATTTAAATTAAAATATAAAAAATTATTAAGATATTCAATAAATCAAATATAAAATATTACAAAACTACATGATTAAAAAATTAATTTAAGGATTACATTGAGTGTAAAAATATTTAGGGACCATATTGATTTTTTTACAAAAGTTTGAGGTCCATGTTAGGCCTTCCTAACAAATCCTTAAAGAGCCACAACCTCCCCTGCAATAGCATCAATATTGTCTAGCATCCTACCATCCCTAGACCTGAGACAACGAACAGCTTGCCTCTGATGCTGAGCTGCCACCATAGTATGAAAAATACTTGGTATTTGTATCCCCTCTTAAATCCAAGAAACCCAAGACTTTTTCCTGAAAAAAATTTCCTCAACGGCTTTAAGCTCCGCAAACTCAGCAAAGAGCTACCTCTCTCTTTATCTCAAAGTAGCACTAGACTCACCACTCAAACTAAGCAACTAAACACCCTCCAACTCAGCTTTCTTCTCCTACACCCTCATGAAAATATCCCCATAATGAGCAAGATTAATCTGCCTTAAAGGATGCTTCAATCGCTTGAGCTTAAAGAGCAAAACAGACATGGGATCCTTCCCCTCCACAGGCTACGTACAAGAGTCTTCCACCAACCTTAAAAAGTCAAAATGACGCACCCAAAAATTAAAAAACCTGAATGGTTTAGGAACTGATCTAACCCTACTATCCAGATGCAACATAATGGGGTAATAATTCGAGACCCCGGGAGTGAGAACCTTCACAAAAGAACGAGGAAATCCCCTAACCCAAGCAGGATTGACCATAGCTCTATCCAACTTCCTCGAAAAGGCCTCTCTTCTAGATGATTGGACCACATGAAAGTGTGACCTACGAAAACATGGTCCACAAATCCCAAAGAATCCACATAATCTCTAAATTCAACCATATCCTTAGAGACATGATCCTCACCAATCGAATCTAAAGACTCCTCAGAATGAAGCACCACGTTAAAGTCCCCCATGACAATCCAGGGACAGTCTCCAATCAAAGCCTGCAAACCAATCAAATGACTCCACAATCTTCTTCTATCTGACCCCAAATTACAAGCATAAACCACACACAACACAGAGTCACCAGAAATAGAGCTAACCCTACCAGTAACACTGCTCAAAGACAAAACCTTCATAAAGGGGAAGAATAATCACACCCCCTCCAAAAGACCTATGTTTCCTCTTATCAACTTTTTTTATCCAATTTTCGCTACTTCTGTCCCTTAAAATTTTGCATTAAAGCAGCCACACCTTGAGCAGCAACCCTCTATTGATGCTCTCCCCCAATAATTTCCTTTTACCCAGATGAAGAAGCACCTTCGTGCAACTCCCGCACATCCTAACAAACCTCAGCATCAAGCTATACTGCATTCAAAACCTCTAACATGGTCGATGAATCTACCAACATCGCCCTTCCTAGAAGCAGAGGAAGCACCCCCAACGGAAACAACCACATCAGGCAAACCACCGATTGTTCTTCCAAAACTCCAGGCTCTCCACCAACAAGCACTGCATCAGAACACTTGGTCCCCACGGTCCCAGTCAAGGCCCCAACATCAGTCGTTGGAGCTTTTGGAATACAGATCTGCTTAATCCCTTTCTTCAATAAACATGACCTATCAGTGTGTCCAAAGGTACCACATTGCACACACCGAGAGGGCATCCAAGGCACCTCCACAACAATCGATGCTCGACAAAAACACACTTAGGAACAACAGAATCAACCTTCAATTCCACGCAAACTTTAGCAAATGCAACCCTTTGCTTAGAAGCAATGACATTATCCATAGACAAAGGGACTCCCACAATACTCGTTATATAGCTCAACCCAGTTCTAGTAAAATGTTCCAACGGGATTCCACTCAAATGAATATACATCGGAAACTAAGACAAGTTATATACAATTCTGAATGCTAGGCTCCCACATCCTAATAATCACAGGCTGGTTATGGAAATTTCCAAGACCATGCCCTAACAGCCAATCTGCCTTTTCAGCTGAGGAAAATTGAACCCAGAAAGTGGATTCACCCACTACCCTACCCTCAACCGCACATTTCTTACCCCATAGACCAGTAACCAAACTCTTAAAAGTGTTAAACTGAAGAGGCCTACCTAGAAACTGCACCACCACAAAGTTCTACCAATAGTTGATGCTCTCCTCAAACACAATTGTCGGAGGGACCACACTGGCACCTCCCTTCGATTCCCCCGATCCATCCTCTAGAGCCATAGCCCAAGCCGAAAACCCAAATCATAGAGCAAAAAACTAAAAAAAAAAATCGCAAGAATCTAAAAGAATCAGAAGAAAAGTCAAAAGAATCGCGCGAAATCCTCAAGCCATTTCAGTCTTGCTAAAATACACCAAGAGCATTTCTTCGTTTCACTCGTTTTTTTCCGCAACCCTATATTTTTTTAAAAAATATATATATAAATTTTATATAAAAATAAGTAAAATAAAATTAATACTATTTTGATAGGATATTAACGTCACTTTAAACATAATTGACCCCCTTTAAAAGAACTAATATCAACATTCAACAGTTCGATTACAACTACTTGAAAAATTATTTATAAAACTTTTTGAAATTTTTAAAAAACTGTAACATCATTTTTTTTTTGTTTTCAACAATTCATATAGACGTGTAAAAATTTCATATTATACTAATAAATTTTAACTTATATATATATATATAATTCAGGATTTAATTATACTGTGTCGAATTCTTTTTGTTTTACACACTTTTAGAATTATTGGATTAGAGAAATTAAAAGTTGAGATTAACAGTAAAAAATAAGAAGATATTCACTAAAAAAATAAGATGTTAATCTCAACCTTTAAATTCATTAAAATTAATAATTCTAAAAATATGTAAAACTAAATAAAATTTTATGTATTAAAATAAGATAAAAGTAATAATTTAAGTATTAAACGTGAAATTTATCCTATTTTAAATGATGTAGAAATAGTTAGTCTACGTGTTGAGTGTTGACTCATGGCTTGATTTATA